TGTCTCAATAAATTTTTTTTCCCGCTGTATATATATATATATATATATATATATATATATATATATATATATATAAATACACATGTATGCATAGTCTCCACTTCTGTCGTTTATATGAATTTGTGTGTGTATGTGCACCCATCTTTTTGAGCCTTATGTAATGCCACATACTGTGAAGCAATGTTTGGTTGAGTAACCGCTTTGTCTTTATCCAGTGTCCAGCAACAACACTTTTGTTCGCTAAACGGCCAAGGAATGTGTCTGACATCTCGCATTAAATCACACTTGTTTTTCTGCCAGCACATATCTCTAATTTCCAGTTCTTTCTTTTAAACCATTTCAAGTTTCAAAAAGTCTAAAAACTGCATCCAAATTTGCCTGTTTGAAATGATAATATAGGCACAAACTTCCCATGGCTGAAACTAAAAGTGTGAAAAATACTAAAGGTGCCAGAAGTAGTAATTTAAGCCAGACGCATGACAGTGTGTCATTAGTAAATAACAGCAACTGAATAGGTTATCTGTAGCGTTGTGTGTTTAAAGTGCAGGAGAACTGCTAGCATTATGGAGGTGATATTTATGTCTCAGTGATGTAGCCGTTGCTCACCTGCTGCCATACCAGACCAACTGTATCATACTGTAGTATTGGACAGCTAGAATCAAATGACCGTAAACAAACACAAACTGTAATCAGAGTCATCTTGTGCTCTCTCTCTCGGTCTCACACACACACACACACACACACACACACACGTGTAAATGACGGTCTACAGCAGCAGTAGGAAGGACTATCTCACTGTCTGTGTATGTAGTGGTTTTGCAGTCGCCTGTAATGTTTGTTTTTAGTGCACTTGAAGATTGTGTTAATAACAGCTAAACTGGGGGTGGAAAATTATATGTCTTATGTCACCTCAGCTGTTCTGCAGAGAAAATATATATGGTTAAAACAGACAGTAGTATTTATTTTACTGTTCATTTTTTTTCAATTTTCAATCTATTTATGTATTTGTTCTGTAATGTTTTTCACTGAGGAATCACCATTTCAACCAAATTTTCATTGTTTCCAAGCAGTTCCAAAATGTTAAGTGTTTTCAAATTGATTTTTGCTAAACAAACGCAAGGAAGATTGACTTAATATCAGTATTATTCATTTTCATTTGCACCAAATATGCAAATGAATCATTTGTATTAAAGGGGTCCTATTATGCGTTTTCACTTTTTCAACTTGGTCTGTAATGTTGCTGTTTGAGCATAAAAAAAGATCTGCAAAGTTACAAAGCTCAAAGTCCACTTCAAAAGGAGATATTTTATTTTTACAGAAATCACTTTTCAAAAACTACAACGAATGACTCGTTAGGACTACAGCGCATATTTTCTGGGATTTGTGATATCACAAATATCGACGAATGGGACGAGACCTGGTTGAGCTGCACTAGAGAAGGCAACGAGTGTTATCACTATGTCGGAGACACACTAGCTTTCCCAAGGCAGACGAACTTGGAGTGGTTACAATCATCCGGGTTTAAATCATGCTCAAATTGATTTGATTTTGACGCAGTATTTACACTGAAGCTTGCAGGCGGCTATGGTAAGGGGCGTGACATTTGCCGAGCAGGTGCCGAGTGGTGCCAATCACAACACACACTGGCCCAGCTAACCAATCACAGCACATTTCGTGTTTCAGAAGGCGGGCCTTCATATGATACAGGAACTATTCGAGCCGTTCATGCCAGACTGGGGAGAGAGGTGTTGTAATAATGCAAAATATGTGAAAAATAATGTGTTTTTCGAACAACCTAGTATGAGAGCCTGTTCTAGTACACCCCCAAAACAAAATCAAGACTTTGTAAAAGAGCATAGTAGGACCCCTTTAAAAAAAGTCTTATGAGGGTGAGTAAATGTTGACAGAATTTATATTTTTGGGTAAACTATCCTTTTAACTTAACGGACACATAAAAACCATGAAACTTGTGATATTCACAGTGTTGCTTGTTTAATATTGCCAGCAGAATCATTGTGAACATTGTATATTTCGCCCAGCCCTTGTGACTCATGGAATAAGTCATGCTTAGTCCAAAGTTCTGAGACTATTGGAATGTTAAGCCATAGAGTCAAACAAAACCCAGTATAAACTTCTGACTGACTGTTTAATCCCCTTTTAGCACTCAATGTAAAGTGACCAATTATACCAATTTCATGTGTAAGTGCCAGAATGTGTAAATTAATTGTCTTTGAGCAATTTGAGCTGATGTTTGGATTTGTGCTTCATTGTGGGACCTTGCATGGCTGATTTTACTCCGAGGGTTTATTTTATCAACTTTATTCAGAATGATAGCATATGGGCAGACAAAACAAGTCCTAATGTAACCAGTTGGGATTCATTTAAAACATTGTAAATCAGAAAACACTGTATTAGGAATTGGACACATGGTTAGATGGACTCGTGCCAAGAGCATATGTTGCATGTAATGGAGTGTAAATGTGCTTACATGCTTGTGTTCACTAATGTAAGGCATATGAGAGACAATGAAAACAATCATGTTCATTTTTTGGGACTGAGTGTTGTCGTCGGTGGAGTTCAGAAGACACAGTGCTGAGCATATTGTTTATGAGATCTTGTTGAGATTCTCTGCTTTACTCTGGGAGGATCCTATGGGAGCCCAGCAGGCTATGGCTAGCTCAGCTCAGGGTTATATTTCGGTCATTTTAATCTACAGGCCTAGGCCATGCTTTGATGTTGTCATTTTGAACCATATTGTACATCAGTGAATCCATTCTAATATACTGCTGCTTCTTCCCAATATCCTCCAAAGAGCTTTTGTTAAATAATAATTATTGCTTCAGTCTTTTAAGCTGGTCTCTTTGGAATTCCTCGGTTTGGACCGGCGAGCATTCAAAAAGCTGGTGTCTGATTCCCTCTTTGTGAATGCACATCATGGTGCGCTAGTTCCTCCATGGCTGGCTGGGCTCTCATGCCCTTTAGGAGTTGCTTTTGAATTAAATAGTTGCATGAACTCATCAAGACTTCAGCAAGTCATTTATAACAGAAAGTACTTCTCTTTGTTTTTAAAGATAAATGAAGCAAATTTTATGGAAAAAATATATATGGAGAACTGCATTGTTTTTTAAGAATTTTTGAAGTGTGAAAAATTTGACATGATCTTTGAGGAAGTTTTCCTCTATCAGATGTTAAACCCAATAGTTCACCCAAACATAAAAATTCTGTCATCATTTACTCACCCTCGCGTTTCAAACCTGCAAGCATATTTTGAAGGATGTTTGTAACCAAACAATTTTGGTACCTATTAACTTCCATTGTATGGACTAAAACACAGAGATATTTTTTCAAAATATCTTCTTTTGTGATCCACAAATTAAAATAAGTCATACATGTTTGGAATGACAAGAGGGTGAGTAAATGGTGGCAAAATGTTCATTTTTAGATAAACTATCTTTAAGCCTGTTTGACTTATAGCCTCTATCCAAGTCTTAATTCAGAGTGGCTTAATATAATTGAGTTCTTAATGTGACTGTTTGACAGAAATTGGACGGGTACGGAAGGACATGTACAATGACACTCTGAACGGCAGCACAGATAAAAGGACTTCCGAGCTCCCGGATGCTGTGGGGCCCATTGCACAACTCCAAGAGAAACTCTTTGTGCCTGTCAAAGAATACCCAGATGTAAGTATTACTTCAACGCTTTTTAAAATAGAAATTTCACATGAGTTTATTCCATTGTTGGGCAGTTACTAAGGTTATTGTGTAGACTTTAAACAAGGGTTCCGAAATGTTTTCAGATGTATTTATGAGGTAGTTGCTAGATGCACAGTCAGAAAAAGTGCCAAAATTAGCTTGTTACTGAGACTGTTCCCTCAAAAAGTACACCTTTTGTATGTCATGTTACTGTAAAGAGTGCATATTAGTATCTTAAGATACTAATAGGTACCCTTAAGGTACAAACATGCACCCTTTAGGGGTAGATAAGGTACAGATCTGTTACTGCACAGTTTTACCATTAAAGGAATGATTTTACACTTTTTTTGACATATGTTTTCTACAGAATCAACATGTGCATGCCAATGGTCTGTATTAAAGGCATTAAAGTAAAATGTAGAAAAGTCATTTGTGTGACACCAGTGGCTCTCGGAATAGCACAAATAATGTTTGGCTCTGTCCCAAATGCATCCCAGAACTCTTACTGTCTTTTTTCAACTGATGGACTGTTGGGTAGTAGTTTGTTGTTGAATCTCCATCAGTGCGGGCATGTTTCTGTGGGTAAAGCAGATGATTTATTGATAAGAACAAGTTCAATCATGTATGCACACAACATTAAGGTCAATAAAGCTGCTTTACAACAGATTAGTATCTTAAAATAAAATCATCACCACATTCATGGTATAACTGGAATAGTAATGTACTGAAACTGTCATTTTTATCTCCTGAAATGTGTCAAAGAGGGCTTACAATGCATCTTGACTAGTGCATGTAAATAGAGAGAGACATGCATTGGTCTTAACACATGTTTTTGTAGAACACAAATTTATATCAAGTCTATTATCAAAATAATAGACAAATATTTCGTTTTTTTGCAATTTGATTGTCTTACCTTAGCTGTTGACTCAGGGGAGCATGAGAAGCCTGCAACAGACTGATCCAATTAAAGGCACAATATGTAATTTTTTGCCACTAGAGGGCGCATATTCAAAACAAACAAAGAAACAAAGGCGTAGTTAGATGATGCCGTGACTGGGTGTGGAATCATGGGAGTTGTCATCTTCATCCCCACACGCCGAAGCAATCCGATGGGACTCGTGCAGAAATCATGTTCATGGATGAGCTAACGTATTAAAGATTTATTACCGTCGTAGTATGAAGCAGGGGCTAAAAGCCGTCGAAGCAAAACGAGGCCGCTGAACAAGCGCGACACACGGCTCGAAAGCAGCGGAGCTTTTATTATGCCACAGTCGATCGCTTCCACTCCTTCCGGAAAGCAGCGGAAGTAAGCAGCGCTTTTTTATCATACTAGATACATTTGAACGTTCTGTTATAATGCTACTCTGTGTGGTCGTCACCTGTCTAATAAAACGTATAACATATTAAAGCGTCTTTGGTGTTTCCATGTTTTCTACAAAACAAAACCGGAAATCGAGGGTGTATGACGTCATTGGCAGGCGACACTATAGACACGGTCCGTGTCACTAGTTAAAATTGCTTATTTCTCTGGATTTAAACGTTCTTCGAAACATTTGGGATAATGTAAGTACACAAGTCAGCAAAATATATAAAACTGTTCTAGTGGTTTTTGGATATCTTAATAAAAAAAATCGTACATATTGTGCCTTTAAGTCGTCTCTGCCAGGACCGCAATAATCAAAAGACAATAATTAGCATGGCAAATTTTGCTTCTGTGAGTCAAACTCGGCCTTGTTTGACTCCCAGCCTGTGCTTGAATGCATTGTGGCTATCAGATTCTTTATGCAAGGACAGCTTTCACACTCTTCTCGGAAAACATAATTTATGCAGAAACAGGCCTGAGAGTGGATTACGTGAGGAGCCCAGTCTGAAACATTTGTATGTGAACTGAATAAAGTGCTGGGATGTACGTTTTCAGTGGGCGATTATCTGGCCCGTTTGATCTTGACCAGGTTTAAGGTTGAGGCTGAGTTTAAGGAGACGGTAAGTAGACGGAGTAGTGTTTCTGACCAACAACTCTCACATTTCTCCTGTCTTAAAGAGCTGATGAGAGTGATAGTAGGGTTAGGGTTAATTGAGTTTAAATGAGAGGTGCGTGACAGGGGCTTCTCTGTTATCTCTTGTTTAGTTATAATTAACCTCTGTCCACTGTCCTCTATATCAGGATGAATCCCAACCACTGACAGCACTTGTGCAAATGTGCAAAATTAACTCGTTTGACAAGTATTAGAAGAAATCGGAAGTTCTAAAATGCAATACATCTCATTCAACACATTTTGAAGGAAGAAAAGCTTTTGAATAGATTAGCCTGATAGATGACAACACACAGGAACTTCTGATCTGGTATATGGTGTCTAGTGTGTTAAAATGTGATACATTTTGACAACCTGCTCAGAATTTCCCATTGTTGAGTGACTCATTGAGGTCACAAACTTCATAAAGCAACAAAGTCATTTGGAATAGCACACTTCCAACACCAGTAGGTCTTGTTCATGTGCAATATTGCTCAATTATTGTGATTATTCAGTCTCAACAATAAGGATTTTTCTGGACTATTCAGACCTTTAATTCCCCTGCCAACATTTTCACTGGCCACACTTCAAAAAAATGGAAGATTTAATTAATTGGTGACATGTTTTTAAATAAATTAACAGAAAAATGTTGTTAAATGTTTTCCAGCTTGTTTATCCTAGTTACACTTTGTGATGGTCGTTTTGATAGATCATTTGGGGGCACAACAAATCCTTATCTTATTTGCAGCCATCAGTCATCAGGCTTGTTTTGAGAGTGACTTTGCTTCCCTGTAATAGAAGCATAATTTTCATAATCCTTGCAGGAACCTGTCAGGGATACCACCATCCCACCGTGAGTGCCAAGTGTGGGTGAGAGACATGCAGGCCACTGGCCTTTCTCTCCTCTCTCACCTTTTGGAGAGAATGATCTAGAGCATTATCCCTTCTTTCATAGTCTGTGTGAAAACAAATGATGATTAGTTTTCTATTCTTCATGCTCTCAACGTCTCAGACCGTTCAGAGTGATTTGGAGGCCGCCGCCTCAGTCTGTCATCCTCTTCCCACTCTTTTCACTCTAGCTGTCGACTGGTAATGAGGTTTTTTCCAGTGCTTCATTGTTGTTCATTGAGAGCCACACACTTTAGATGCAGTTCTTGAACTTGTTAAAAAGCACAAGGAGAAAAGACATTGTGTTTACTTCATTTTGTTAGCATTCTGTGACTGTTTTGTAAAGGAATATTCCACCTAAAAATGAAAATTCTCTCATTTTCTCGCCATCATGTTGACTCAGATATATATGAATTTTCTAAAAATATAAATATTCTTCTGGAAAACCAATGTCATATACATCTCTGATGGCTTGAGGGTGAACTATCCCTAACATTCAAGGGTTTGCACTCAGTAGGATTTATTATTATTTTTTAAATAATACTTTTATCTAGAATGGATGCATTAAAGTGTTCAGAGGTGACAGTCATGGCGTTACAAAAGATTTCTATTTCAAATAAATTCATCAAAGAATCCTGAAAAAAATTTATCATGGCAGCACAACTGTTATCAACATTGATAATAATAAGAAATGTTTTTTTTTAGCTCCAAATCAGCATATTAGAATGATTTCTGAATAATCATTTGACTCATGTGATTGAAAATTCAGCTTTGCCATCTCAGGTATCAATATATTTTAAAATATAAAATAGTTAATTTAAATTTTTATATATTACCTTTTTTGTGTTTGATTTAACACTTTATTTGTATTCAGTTTTTTCCCCAAGTTCCACTTATAATATTAGTAAAGTGTATTTTTGTGCTAAAAACATAAAAATATTTCCACCCTCTTTCTGACCGTTAATTAAATGGTCTATTTTTCTGTTCTCCCTTTAAGAAACATCCCATTCTTTTTCTTTTGAAAATGAGAACCACTGTCTGATCTGCTTGCAGACAAGGTTCTGATCAGATCAAATCATATTTTTGTGATTCTGTTTGTGATTCACAGAAAATTACAGACTTTGCAGCTTTAATCAACATCACCTGGTAATCAGTGGGAATTTGGTTTGGAAATTATATACTATCAGTCACTTCAATTGTCACGTAGACCAGCAGTGATCTCACTGTTACACAGCTTACCAATCAGAATGACAGGGAAGGTAACCAGAAACATCTAGACTGACAAAAACTTAGTTCACTAAGTCAACAGTTGCACAAGCATTGCCTACAAACACTAAACTACAATAACACAAGGACACAGACAGACATACGGACAGTGCCATCCACAGTACACAGTAGTCTGATGAGCTCATCTCTAAATATACAGCACAGAGGGCCAACGACCCCCAGCAGCTGTGAATGGCCTGAGAAGACACGAGCTTTAAATGGAAGAGAATGCATTGTGACCCTGAGAGAGAGATTCAGCTGCCTGGCTTATCACTCAACCCTTGTGACAGATAAGGTTGAATGCTGAAAGAGTAGCACAGCCACTGGCCCACAAATGCTAAAACGCACAATGTCTCAGCCTTTTAAAGGGGCAACGTAATAAATCACATCATGGGTCAAGTCACAGCTTAACCGATCATTCAGTTTGCTTGCCTGGTGGTTTTCATATTCAGATGTCACAAAACATAATTTATAATGTCTAAAGTGCTTGATTGAGAGTAGAAACTGGTGGAAATGGATTGTTTTCTTAAAGAGTAAACAAATGAACCATTCATACATATCATACACATTTTGGTCACATCTGAAGGTATAAAATGAACTTTGTTTTGGAAAATAGTATCCAGTAAATGGTTGTTTTGTATGACTTTTAAAGCCGAAATAATGTCAATTGGAACATGAATTTGCATTGGACTAAAAGCAGTCAAGTTAGTTTGGCTGTTAAATATGGTAGGTATTTGTGTTTTATATGACTCTTTGACCCCTTTGTTAGGTTAAATTTGTTCCATGTGACTTGTGTCAGGACAGGAACAGGGTGGAGTATGGTTAAGGCTTCTCCGTGGCAAATGGTACATTCCAAAACCACATTTGGTCTCTAGATGTTCCCCTTTCAATAAAAGGGGATTAGACATTCCAAACATTCTGCCAGGGTTTTCAAAGTCCCTTTGATTGAATTATACAATTAAGTTACCATGCTGCAGTTAACATCATGCTCTGCCAAAGCTTCCATATGGGAGAACCATTAGCTGAGGGGATGATGGTCTGTGTTTTTAACCTTGAGGATGTGATTGTGGCTGCCTCTGCCTCTCTATGCTGGTATTTTTCAGCTAAGTTGAACAGTGGTTACAAATCTCAGAACTATGCACATATAAAGTGAATGTGTGCGCACAGTGATAGAAACACAACATTCTGTCTCATCGAGAGTGCAATCCAAATGATTTCAGATCCATATCAGATTTTCAGCACTGGGATGCTCATACCAGATGTGTGAAATGCAGATGTTTTCCACTGAAAGAACTTCCTGGTTTTCTCTACCTTTTGATGTTTCTTCACAGTTCAATTTTGTGGGAAGAATCCTGGGGCCCCGGGGCCTGACAGCCAAGCAACTGGAGGCAGAGACAGGCTGCAAGATCATGGTGCGAGGCAAAGGCTCCATGAGAGACAAGAAGAAGGTAAGACACTTTTTTCACTGTTTGTTTTACTTTTATTTTTGCTTTCTTTTTTTACTATGTATTTTCCTTTTATTTCCTTCCTTCCTTTATTATTTACATTTCTACTTTTTGTTTACTTTACTTTTTTATATTTCTTGTCTTGTCTTGTCTTTTCCTCTCACTTTCTTTTTTCTTTTCTTTTACCCTTTCATTCTTTTACTTTTGTTTCCTTTGCTTTTTAAAATGTATTTTCTACTTGCCTTGCATTGTCTTTCTTTCAAGGGCTTGTGGATGTGTTTTTACTGTATGTTTTTTTAGCGAGGAAGACAATATACTACCTTTACACCAGCACATAGCTAATAGATGTCAAATGGAAAGAGACGAAAATCCAGGCGATTCCGTTTTAATGGAATTCCTGACGGAGTCTGCGTTGCCTTCCCGACTGTAGAACTGAGGCAGATGATCTTGCTGCCTCCAAGGCTGCCTGACACAGAGGAAAAATGACTTGCATTAAAATTAAAATGAGCGCTATTAGAGAAAGGAGAATGCTCTGTTTCTCAAGCTCAAAGAATACAGTTTCAGTTCCTTGTCTCATCCTACAACATTTAGTCTGAGTTTTCAGATTAGAGTACAATTTGGGCTTGTTGCACAAACAAATAATGCTACTGAAGACTCTTATGCTTTAATGGCATCTATGCCTTGTAAAAATATTTGATGTCAGACCATTTGCCTTTAACGTGGTATATAGACATTAGCAACTATGAACTACTGTCTTAAGTTCAGGCCTGTTTCCACAGACACATCAGGACTGTCTCCTTTTTGCATAATGGAAATCATTCAAAAATCTATTTATTTTATCAGTTTAAGACATTCGAGGATACACCATCTGTGTTTATTCCTCACCGCACAACCTCCAATTCCTACACAAGCATGCAAATGAAACATTAAGTGCATACACGGTAAAATATATGGTTAGAGGCTTTGATGAGATTCAGATTGATGGGAATTAATGGAACACATTGAACTGAGATGCCTCAAGCAAAGTGCCATTCTCTCACTTTATTGCACAACCTATGTCTATCTAGACATAGGTAGATGCTTATAAAGGCTATTTCTTTGGTCAAGACAGACTGGTGGCTCAGCATTCTTAGCCAGACGAGGTGTTGCACATCTAGGAAGCACAGAATAGACAATTGAAATCGAAAGTTTAAACCTCAGCTTTTTCCTCAAGATCGACATAATTGTTTTCTGACAGCAGCCACTAGGCCTTATGCTTTTCAAAACACTCTTGTCGTAATAGCATGTCAAAATTAAATCCGTGTAGAGTGTTTTTTGAATATTGTGCGAAAATGAGTGTTAGATTGTGAAACCATCAAGACCTGTAGTGTTCTGCTAACTTAATTTCTGTAACACTGAAACTACTGTGACAGCAGAGCGAAACGTGTAAATCCTGTGAAAAATTATGGCAATCAAGGAAGAGAGAGAAATAAGAAAAGTTACAGCCAGGCTAAACAAGTCAGGCGTCAATAGGAAATGCCATCTGCATCTGTTTTCTTTCCCTAAATTGGATTTACTGTCACATTTCCTGGAATAAACACACAATAGGCTTAGATTTCTGGGTTGTGAAAGGTATTTGCCATTATAATTAAAAGGTTAGCTTATCCATAACATTATATATTTTTTTTGTCTGTGGAACATAAAAAGAGAAGCATAGCAGAATGTCCTGTTTTTTTGTTGTTGTTTTTTTAAACAATGAAAGTGGATGGGGACCAAGCAATGTCAGGCTCCAAAACAAGCAAAAAAGCAACATAAGTAATTTATGTGGTGCATATGACTAGTATGCTATGTTTCAAGCCATTTGATAAATTTATGTGAGAAACATACTGACATTTAAGTTCTTATTCACTGAAAATATCATGGTCATCATTCACTTTCATTGTATGAGCAATTGTAAGAGCAACTTAGATGCTCTTCTATTAATAACTCCTTTCGTATTCCACAGAAGGAAGAAAGTCATACTGATTTCAAAACCCATGATGTTAAGTAAATGATGACATTTCTTTTTTGTGTCAATTATTCCTATAGCAAACTGCTATGTTTATAATATCACATGATGAAATAGTCTGTTTATGCTGTAATTCAGATAATGCGAAAGGTTCATGCATTTGTTGGTTGGGAGTTGGGAGTTGAAATAGAGATTCTATGTTTGGAGGAAGTGCGTGTTCAGATGGAACTCAAAAATAGACCAAAATACACCATTAGGTGCCCAAATCCTGAGAAAGCTTGCTAAAATCATGCTGGTGATGTGAACTTTTTGTAATATAGCTTGTGTTGGATTGGCCTTTTACATTCACTGTTGATCTATAGCTGTTATAATTAAGTACATCATGCAAGCAACTTTTTCACACTTTGCTGTGTTCAAAAATTGTACAAAATTGCCTACCCACCAAAAGTAGGCCAGAAGACCTCTATGCATTGTGCTGCTGCTTAGACTGTTTCAGAGTCAAAATCACAGTTATTATTATCACATAACCAGCTGTGCGCAAGACTGCTGCCTTTATTGGATGCACATATTTGATCATATAATTACTCTATTCTGAGGAGGTGGCAGCCGCTTATTAGCAAATACAACGCCACCAACTGTGATCTGAGACTGGCGTCCCCCGGTCAAGGATGTGGCCGGGTTGTCTATGTCTTTGTTTCTCTCATTCAAACTTTACCCTTGAGGCCAAGGCGATGTCTGTGATTGCTTGAAGCGGGAACCTCAGAAGGCGGCGAGCGAGTTCACAGTAATTGATTGTTCTGTAGGTCTGAGCTCTGCGTCGTAAACATAAGCCTCGCTGTGATAAAAAACCCAGCTGGAGACAATGCCTTCAATAAGGCTCAATGCTTGGGCCCAAACGCTCCATTTCTATGGCAACCGGCTTGTCACTGCTGTTGGTGGTCTGAACCCTGAGATAAACTGACAGTCACTTGTTTCCAAGCTAACTGTCGCTACGTGTCTATTGGCGTTTGGTGTCCATGTGTAGCTGCACAGCTGCAAATAAGAGTCTAGAAACGTTTCCATGGAAACTAGGGCGCCGTGTAGTCTTGGGAAGTGGTCTGTATGCTCATAGGCAATCGATCCAAAGTCTTAAAACGTTTTGTTGGAAATGTGGCCTGGTGGGTGGTACACATACTTTGACACGTTTTCCAGTGTCGCTTATGTGGGCGACCCAAGTTAGAGTCATTTCCTAGTGCCACCCACCCCTCTCTCACTATCATTTCCTGTCTCCTCTCTGACTGTCCATCTCTTTATTTTTATCCTTTTTGTCATTTTAAAATCCTGTATAGACTCAAAAACACCTCTGGGTTTTTATTTATAGTACAGTAGGGGTTGCACTAACTAGTTGACAGCTTAACTATAATGGCCAAAAATACCCGAAATTAGTTTCTGCTAAATTCAGAATTAAAGAATTGCCTCTCTTGCAATTCATTAGTTTGAAACAGAAATGTCTGAATTGCAATTGTTAAACTTCGATTGTTAACAATTGTTAAAATTGGTATATCTATCTATTTATCTATATCTATCTATCTACCTGTCTGTCTGTCGTTCTATCTATCTACCTACCTGTCTGTCGTTCTATCTATCGATCTATCGATCGAGCGATCATTCTAATTCTTGATCTAACTGTCTAGCTATCTCTACAATAGATTTTCTACTTCTAAAAAATGTTCTACCTAAAAAATTTGAATTTCATAGAAAAATTTATTTCACTTACTCAAATTTGAATTGCAATTTTGCATTTTGTTTGATGCCTCACTTCAAATTCAGTAATTGAGTTGGTGCACAGCCCTGGTTCTCAAACAGGTCTTATGTTTTCTGTGAACAGGAAGAGCAAAACAGAGGAAAGCCCAACTGGGAACACCTGAACGAAGACCTGCATGTCCTCATCACTGTGGAAGACTCTCAGAACCGTGCTGAGATCAAACTCAAGAGAGCTGTCGAGGAGGTCAAGAAACTGCTAGTCCCTGCGGTGAGTGATTTGTTTCTCTGTTCTCCTGACCTTATATATAATTTATTGAGACGAGGTTTTAAAGAAATGTGTTGAGTGGCAAAATCACATCGATTCGCCTCATGGAAATGCTGCTTAGGCACTGATAAATGTATTTACTCTAAGGAGAACATGCTTAATCGAAAGAGCTGCGCTCAGCAGATCTTCTGTTTCCCCGCTAGTCGCTCTGCATCCACAGACAGGTAGATGTGAGCAGGAAGCAGAGAACAGGGTTGCTTTCCTCCATGAGCATAAGTTTGGAGCCACTGAGCACACATGATTCCAGATGTGCAAAGGTGAGCACCGTGGGTAGTATTTAATAGGCTTAATTACCTTATAAATTAATGAGGAGCACAGGACTGAAGGGTCAAAAGAACCCCACATGGAACCAACGGAAGTCTCAGCATTGCTTTGGGATTCAGAGCTGAATGCCAATTAACCTTCGGGTCTAAAGGAAGTGACAGCAGGTTAGGAGGAAGTGCCATTAGAAGCCTAGTGAGATTTGAGAGAAATTTTCTTTTTCTGTAGTGTTTTCTACAATGTTTTTTTTTTCATTTTTTTTTTCATTATAATATACCTATGAAGGCAGACATAGAAATTTAGCAATATTCTTGCATCAGAGTTATCTAATCTAGGCAGAATACTGTAAAATGTCGAGAAGAACAATTCAGTTTTTTAGGGTTTTTAGGATTTTAAACTAAAATGTAATATTTAAAAGTTAAAAAAGGATTGAATTCAAAATTGGACCTATTTGTTAATATGGTTTCCTTGTCCTGATTTTGCTTTTTCGCATGACATCAACAAGCCTTCTTATTGAGCTTTTCCCCCACTTTTTTCCACTGCTTTTCCTCCTAAAAGCTAATGGGAGAGAAGTGGATTTCACTAGAATAATTCACATTTTTAAGCTGTTGTTGTCAAATTCAACTCATCCTTCATCGAAAGTTTAAATATTCACTAGCTTCGGGCATTTGGCTGGCAGCTCTCGGCAAAGTAAGCAGAGAGAAGAGTGGTGTACACACACACTGATCCTCATTTGAAAAGCCCCGCTTTTCTTTCGCTTCTCTGCTTGCTGACATAGTTCAGATTATTCTGTGGACCGTCTGCTGTGGCCCTCCCTGACCTGCTCTGAACTCAGACTTTACAGTCTGGGAGCTTGACAAAAATCCAAACTTAGTTGCTGATGTTTTGGACTTGAATTTTTATACTGTTGCTGTTAGCTGAGTGCATTTACAGCTGTTTTACATGTCACAGATAATTTAGATTAGGGTTTGTCAAACTTTTGGACTCTAAGGCCTCCTGTTGTTCACAATAATATTCAAAGGCTTCATTACTTTTCCAATTGTTCGTGATTTTACTGGATAATAATTTAAAAAATAGCAACAGCAACACTTTTACTCAAAATTACTATCTGGTAATATTTCAAGAGCATGTCATAACTTAAATAATTGTAAATGAATTTAAAATATATATTTATATTTTTAAAATATATTTTTTGATATATTTGTTAAGATTTTTTACAGTTTTCCAGGTCTAGAAGTCATGCTTTTAAAATTAGGCTTCCTCATAGGTATATCCCGGTTTTTCAAGACTTGGGGAATCCTGGATCTTTGGGGATAAAAGAAAAAATGAAACCGATCAAACAGTTGTTGAGGGGGTGAAAATAAGAAATATTGATTGTTAGTAGTTCTGGATTATTTAAATTCTCGCCTTGTTTGTCTTTAAATAGTTTTAAGTCATCTTGAGGCCCCTTGGAAGTTTGCTGAGGCCCTCTAGTGGGTCTCGGCCCCTTAGTTAAGAGCCACCAGTTTATATGAACCACTTCATCACAAATTGACAAAACTATGTCCACTTCAGGGGAAGTAAACTGTATAAGGGGGAAACGGCTTGTAGAATGAGGCGTTGATCTCAGCACCTGCTGTTGAGTAATGCAATCTGTTTCTTTAGCCTCCTGCTCTTTGGGCCTGGCTTGTTTTAACAGTGGCAGAGTGAATCATCTGCTAGCTGTTAGCAAGTGTGAAACATTAGCTTCCCCGCACCACTGCACTGATTTCTTTTATTTTTAATCTATCATGTAAAGACATAATTCAGTCAATTACTGTTGGATAAAATATAGTCCAGCCCTAAATTTTTATATTCTTGTTGAATACCAGTAAAATGAGTTGCATACTACTTTTTCTTATTTATTGTCCCATTTCGCTCAGAAATATGTGAGATTACAGATATAAAATAGATTGTGAATCAGTGTAGTTATTGTTAACTAAAGCTAAAACTGCTACTAAAACAGTAATTAAAGCTGAAATAAAATATAAATATTGGATGCAAATACTAAAATGTAAAAAAAAAAATTAGAAATGTTGCCTGGGCAACTACAGTAAATAAGTTGAAGTTGAAGTGCTCAAATTGAAAGAAAATATTAAATATAGAAATATTCAAAAAACAAATGATAAAAACATAAAAAGTTGCTTAAATGTAAATTAATTAAAATAAAAAAGGAAAATAAAAAAGCTAATTAAAAATATTCATAAATGCTGTAATAGTATCTAAACATATATTCAAGTAACACTGTTGCGAAAGCCGCTTTGTGTGCAATGAAGAAAAAAAACGTTCTTGATTCTGTGGTATTTCTTATTGTGAACAACAGTTATTTAACATAGAAAGCAGAATAGAATTAGTAGCGAATGGAATTCAGGAAATTTTTGTAAATGTGGATTGTAATCCCTTCTCCTCTGTCAAAGAGAGAGGGCTTCTGGACGCCCTGTGGCGCTACCATGGTAACCCTCTTGGGGATGCACTGATCCTTGATTGACAGTTGTGCCCTTTCTCTGCTATGGAATCCTGAATGGGGAATAAGCTCTTTAGAAAGTTTAGCGCTGTTTACTCCAGGAAGCTCCCGTCTTGAAGATAAACCCACTGCGATTGTGTTTGTCTTCATCAAACCATCCAGGGGAAGAGTATTCAGCTTTTTTTCTTCGTCATTGCCTGCTTGTTCAAAGGTCTGAGAAATAACTTTTTGTAATAGAATGGTGTCCGAAGAAATTTTGACATTTATTTTGAATTCAGATCTGTTCTAATCAATGTCATGCGCTGTGATGCCACTGAAGACTCTTTCTTCTTGATTGTCATTTTATAAAAATGTTGAACGTTTCACCGCCAGTGTAGAAAAACATTCTTGTAGTGTTTGTTTTCGAGCTCAATGCCCTTAATGTTCGGAAGACATCTCTTCTCTTCAGAGACTAGAATCTGTAGTCTTTCTAACATGGTTTCTTTCCTAAAATGAATGGTGACTAAACTAAAGCTTTGGCATCTAGCATATATATTTTTTCAGTTTACTTTTTTTTTTTATTAGATCCATTCATCTTGTTTTGCCAGTTTATGAAAATATCATTTATAGCACATAGTTTTAAACAGGTTTGAGCTTTTCCCCCACTTTTTTCCACTGCTTTTCCTCCTAAAAGCTAATGGGAGAGAAGTGGATTTCACTAGAATAATTCACATTTTTAAGCTGTTGTTGTCAAATTCAACTCATCCTTCATCGAAAGTTTAAATATTCACTAGCTTCGGGCATTTGGCTGGCAGCTCTCGGCAAAGTAAGCAGAGAGAAGAGTGGTGTACACACACACTGATCCTCATTTGAAAAGCCCCGCTTTTCTTTCGCTTCTCTGCTTGCTGACATAGTTCAGATTATTCTGTGGACCGTCTGCTGTGGCCCTCCCTGACCTGCTCTGAACTCAGACTTTACAGTCTGGGAGCTTGACAAAAATCCAAACTTAGTTGCTGATGTTTTGGACTTGAATTTTTATACTGTTGCTGTTAGCTGAGTGCATTTACAGCTGTTTTACATGTCACAGATAATTTAGATTAGGGTTTGTCAAACTTTTGGACTCTAAGGCCTCCTGTTGTTCACAATAATATTCAAAGGCTTCATTACTTTTCCAATTGTTCGTGATTTTACTGGATAATAATTTAAAAAATAGCAACAGCAACACTTTTACTCAAAATTACTATCTGGTAATATTTCAAGAGCGTGTCATAACTTAAATAATTGTAAATGAATTTAAAATACATATTTATATTTTTAAAATATATTTTTTGATATATTTGTTAAGATTTTTACAGTTTTCCAGGTCTAGAAGTCATGCTTTTAAAATTAGGCTTCCTCATAGGTATATCCCGGTTTTTCAAGACTTGGGGAATCCTGGATCTTTGGGGATAAAAGAAAAAATGAAACCGATCAAACAGTTGTTGAGGGGGTGAAAATAAGAAATATGGATTGTTAGTAGTTCTGGATTATTTAAATTCTCGCCTTGTTTGTCTTTAAATAGTTTTAAGTCATCTTGAGGCCCCTTGGAAGTTTGCTGAGGCCCTCTAGTGGGTCTCGGCCCCTTAGTTAAGAGCCACCAGTTTATATGAACCACTTCATCACAAATTGACAAAACTATGCCCACTTCAGGGGAAGTAAACTGTATAAGGGGGAAACGGCTTGTAGAATGAGGCGTTGATCTCAGCACCTGCTGTTGAGTAATGCAATCTGTTTCTTTAGCCTCCTGCTCTTTGGGCCTGGCTTGTTTTAACAGTGGCAGAGTGAATAATCTGCTAGCTGTTAGCAAGTGTGAAACATTAGCTTCCCCGCACCACTGCACTGCCTCCTTCTCAAACATTTTAGCAGAAAATGTAATGGTGGTCACACCAGATACTGACTGGTTTTCGGACCCCCCCGGACCCCCCAATACAGTAAAACTGCACATTTTAGAGTGGCCTTTTATTGTGGCCAGCCTAAGGCACACCTGTGCAATAATCATGCTGTCTAATCAGTATCTTGATATGCCACACTTGTGAGGTGGATGGATTATCTCGGTAAAGGAGAAGGTCTCACTAACACAGATTTAGACAGATTTGTGAACAATATTTGAGAGAAATAGGCCTTTTGTGTACATAGAAAAAGTCTTAGATCTTTGAGTTCAGCTCATGAAAAATGGGGGCAAAAACAAAAGTGTTGCGTTTATAATTTTGTTCAGTGTATATATGTGACCCTGGACCACAAAACCAGTCTTAAGTGTAAATTTGTCAAAATTGAGATTTATACGTCATATGAAAGCTGAATAAATAAGCTTTCCACTGATGTATGGTTTGTTAGGATAGGACAATATTTGAAAATCTGGAATCTGAGGGTGCAAAAAAATCCAAATACTGAGAAAATTGTCTTTAAAGTTGTCCAAATGAAGTTCTTAGCAATACATATTACTAATAAAAAATTAAGTTTTGATATATTTACAGTAGGAAATTTACAAAATATATTCATGGAACATGATCTTTACTTAATATCCTAATGATTTTTGGCATAAAAGAAAAATCTATAATTTTGACCCATACAATGTTTTTATGGCTATTGCTACAAATATACCCCAGCGACTTAAGACTGTCTTTGTGGTCCAGGGTCACATATAGTCAAAAATATTTGTTTTTATTATTATTTAAATGTATTATATTGTAAATATATATTTTATTTGTTATAATATTGCATATTTTATTTTATGTTTTTCTTAATGTGTATATATACTGCTCATATACCGCTCTTTTGCTCAGAAACCCAGTAGACTAACTCCAGCATTCTGTCTTGTCCTTGTAGGTATGGCTTTCCCGACAAAAGGCTAGTAATGCTCAGGGGTTTAACACAGTCCTCAGCCCATACGAGTGTTAAAAATGCTTTGCTTTACAGCTGCCTTGGAACAAAAAAAGTCAAAAGAGCAAACGAAGAAACTGATTCTTATAAGAAACAAAAGACTAAAGATAATTACTACTCATGTTTACACTGGTCTTAACTGTTTTGTTGACTTATTCACAGATTAAAAATGGATATTTTCAGATAAATACTGATAATTAAGCCTTATTACATTCCTCTGTTTGAAAAGTAATCTATATTTGTTTAGCTTGTAATATTTGTATTACTTATTTTCCTGCAACTGTATCTTAGATATTTAGAGAGTGATCAGTATTATTGCTAATATAACATGCTTGTGAAAATCTTTCTCCATGAAATAGCCTGTAGTGAATTCATATTATCTGAAGCATCTTGTGTGGTGAGAGGAATACAGGGACTCTATAGTCATTGTATAAATTAGTGCCATTTGTGGTTTTATAGAAATGCGACATATTAACTGGGAAATTGAGAAAGGGCAACCGCATATGATGTGATTTCACTATAATGGGGCCCTGGAGAAAAGGTCACTTGTGCCTTGTAATTTGGTTTTACAAGCCTTGTTTGTGAAACAATGTTGTGTGAAGTGTAGTTTTAATGTATTTTGATGAATAATCTGTTAATTCTTGTTTTGTTGGCAATGTTGCGCTCTGAGCAGGTGCAGTGACTACTAAAGTACGAAGGCAGGATATGCGCGTCCATCCTTACCAAAGGGTAGTGACCGCAGAACGAGGTTAGTTTAGCTCCAGTGTTCAAACTCTGCTCTGTGTGTGTGTGTGTGTGTGTGTGTGTGTACTTCTTCAGTATGCTGATTACACTGTCTTTTCATTGCATCTCACTCAATACAAAGAGAGGAAATGTTTTAGTCACTTCTAATGTGCCAAACAAAAAGCATAATTTAAGATTTCAGTGTTGCTGTTATCGGGTATAGTATGTGCCAGTCATACTGTGCAGGGTTCATTTACTCACTAAACCTGCCAACCTAGTAATGCATTGAAACTGTAGGTGTTATCAGCTTACTTGTATTATATTTTGAGAATGCTCTTGGGGTCACTGAAGCAAAGGTTAAAAAAAAATAGAATACTGTTAAAAAAGGAATTTTCTTTACAGTAGGTTAAAACATCCTGTGATGGCTTATGACAACATTACAAACGCTGAGATTTAAGCTTTGTTCTTTGTTCATCTAGTGAGTTGCCTTCTAAGACAGCATCCTAACTGCCATGGAACCTTATTAATGTACACGCTACATAACCAACACAGAACGTAAATGGCGCTCCAAACAGGAGACTCAACTTAATTTCCAGTTTGAGGTTAGCATGTTGCTAAGCTAATAAGCATGACGATACATAGAACACACAAATACTGGATAAAGTGTACTTTTTAAATGTGCCTCTATAGGCAGCTCAGCAGGTTTTGGAACAGACTATTAGTATGATCTGATAACTTCAGCACTTACATGCGTTGTATATTGAGACAAACATGACCTGAAGCTTAGTGGATGTATGTAGATGAAAAACAGCTAGTGTGATAGTGTTAGAACCACTTTGGAGAACCTTTATGGAGCAAAATTGACTGTCCACTGTGCTCCATTACACTGATGACGTTGTGATGGCCTTCAGGCTCAGTCAATGAAGGGTAATGGAGCTCACCTGTTTGTTTGCTTCTGTTTATTCCTTCATTTGTCATTCCTTTGATACCCTTTCTCAGTTTTAGTGTGTTTTCAGATAATTGTATGTCGCTTAAGTACATTAGTATCCCAGTCTCATCTGATATAATAAAACAAACTTATTTATGGTTCAACCTGTCCAGACCAGCATAAATAAAGTTTAGAAGATGGGTGCAATGCTGGTTTTCCCCAATTTATGATACAGATGAATACTTAATCATATTGAGAAAACGCAATCCTGTATATTATTTCAGGCCTGTTATAAGCTGTATTACAGAAGATACTTCAATTCTGATTTTTTTCTAAATTCATTCTTGAGTGCTTGTACTGTTTGCAATCTTTTCTCATGTTACATAGTTTATTTATACCTTTTTACTACAGTTTTTATGTATAGATCAATTGATAGTTGTCGTTTAGGCTAAAAGTAATGATTTGGCCAGGGTCATTGAGCATATTCATGACAAAATCTTTCAAATGCCTTAAATGGATCTAAGGGAATTACAGCAACAGCTTCTAAAGTCCGCTGTAATGCAACTGATTTAAACTCATATTACAAATACGTAGATGTGCCAAAACTGTACATATTTAATAACTATGACTCCTGAAAAAAAAACTGTAAACGTGAGAATCTACTGATCAATATAAGTGAATTTCACACCCATAAGACTTTAACATGTCATAATTTAATAGACCAACACAACTGACCAGTTTAATGCATAACAATTGTGAAATTGCACAAAAAGTCGAATCTATCTCGTCTGGCTTACTGACCACAGCCACAGAAAGATTTCTGAGAATTTGTAAAAGATTCCTGAGCAAGGGAAAATGCCCTTGAATGAAAGACATTGAATGAAATATTCCAAGCACCCGGCTTGGACAGTGTCACATTAGATAGACTAGACGGTTATGAAGGTTAGGACTTGTTTGAGAGTGTAAGTCATCATATGCACTGCACCATTAAAAATAGTTACTTATGCTCGGTGCATAATCGGAGCATTATAAAGATGTTTCAGAGTGCTTATGATCCCTTAAACTCCCCATTCAAGAAATTCCTCATCATAAAAATATGGCACAAGTATTTTGCACTGAAGATTTTAAATCACCAGCTCCTAGTCTGCGATAATCAGACGGAGCAAAGTGAAACAAGAAAAAAACGAAACGGCAAAACCTCATGAGATGTTAGGATGTTTATCAAAGCAGGACGGTCACACACTGTGGCCGCCTGTTAGCACAAGAACAACAGATGAACTGAAGAAATATTCCATTTTTGGTTTGTTTGTTTCTTGTTTGTTGTTTTGCAGTAAGCTTCTTTTTAATTTTTTTGTCAAATGTATGGAAAAGAACATAGTTATTGTGTGTGATCTTTTTAAGATGAGTTTATGAAAGCAATATGTTTAACTATAAAGCAAGAACATTTATGAAATTCTATTGTATTTGTAAATGAATAGGGAATTTATTCTAGTAAACATGTTAGCTTTAGAGAACAATGCCATGTTATTTTTCCAGAGGGGGTCTTATAAGTTATAGTCTTGAGAAACAAGTAGATTTGTCTTTCTAATTGTTTTCTTGTGTTTCTAGTGTTATTTTAGCCCTACATTTCAGCCAATATGCTTTAGTATCATTCTGTTGGATTAGCATTCTGTATTTTTTGTAAATAGTCAAATTTGAAAGGCAATAAAATTTGAGCTAAAAAAAGCACCAAACGTTTTCTACTGTCTAGAAATCTTTTGAGTTAGCCTGTCACTCTCTGATTTTACTTCTCTCGTCACATCTCTGTAACTACTCATGAATCCATATCATTATCACTACCAGCTTTGTGGCTTTGTATTGAAGCAGCACTCTAATGCTTAATAGCAGTCAGAGGATCGTTCCTCGAAATATTTGCATCTTTTAATCCAGGATTGATGCCCTTTTACGTCTTGCTGTCAGTTTTTCCAAATACCCAAACTCTATTGACTGCTACTAACTATTAAGTGCTGTTAGTTTAATTCGTAATGACTCTATAATTGATTTGCCTTTTGCTTCTTTAACCATTTTCACCTGGGAGATGGGTTCTGGAGTGAAATCATGAGGCCTTCATGATTTTGCTGTGTTAACATAGACGTTGAGCAGTTTTCTCTTACAGTTGCTGTAATTAGTAATGTCATATTGTCATCCAACCGTCACTAGCTGAAACTAATCTCCTTCTCTATCTTTTTTCTTTTGTGTCCTCTTTATGTCCTTTTTTTTTTTCGTTTCCCCTCTGTCTGTCCATTTTTTTTGTTCTCTAACAACCCAGCCGCCACCGGCAACTAACCAATGACCCTCTGAACTCTTCACCCAATGATGACCTGACCATTGCCTGCCTGCTGACCAGTTCTCTGGCTCTCGTCCTTCGCTTCTATGTTTTGGCGGCCTGCTGGTGAGCCCAGAAGCAGCTTTAATTCGCTTAACACTGCCGAGAAGCCGTGATGGCCCCACGCCACCACCTGCAGAACAGAATCGCTCCCCTTCTCAAACTGAGGACCTCCTTGGTCAGGTGACCTGGGCTTCCCAGCCTGCACTGAAGTGTCATAAAGCAATAACGCTGTCTGGGCGACACCTAAAATCCTACTTTTAGCCTTTCACATGCACACACTAAATAAACACAATTCTTTATTGGTTTCTAAAAATTAAGCATAATGTTCTATATAACTCTCCAAGTTTGTGCACTGCAGTTCTCGTACCATCCTGAAGAGTTTGAAAAAAATTAATAAAACAGCAGTTTATTTTAAAACCGATTTATAGGTCCAAATATCCATAAGGGATGTAAAAGCCATGCATGCCTACCAGCATTTTCTTCAGAGAGCTGTCGAAAAGCATCCAGACACATGAGCAAGTATACAAACACTGATCGTCAATTAATACCTTTTTTGATATGAGGGTGCTGCAAAGGATATGAATATATATTTTTCAAAGGTGATCCTTTTTGTATTAAAAAACAAAGCAGTATTGTCAAAATGTGATGAACAAACAACGTTTACTTCCTTATGACAAAATTTTAGAGACCAAAATGGTGTCTTTTTTTATAAAAAAAACAAACAAGTGCCTTATTTTACACAATGTCATCAATTATGAACAAGTATGAATGTCCATCTATGGGTTATATGCCAACATATCAGGTATTTCTGTTCAATTCCTCTTTATTCATGAAAACAAGAGGTGCACAGAACAATGTTGCAGGCATTACGCTCAAAAACGACATTTTATAATTTTTCCTTACAAATAATGATTTTTACCCTGTCACACTACATTAGTTACTTCTTGAGCCATTTATGCTCACAATCCGTTTGTAGTTGATAATGTATGTGTACGAGCTCCCTAATATGTTTATAAATCCATCACTACATCTGTTACACAGCAATGAAGCCCCATCAATATAAAACTTACTGGTCACTATTCCCATATTTTTCACTCTGCTTATATCTCAAGGAGCATTTATTCAGTTCATTGGGGTGAATATTATAAAGGTTCGGGGGTTAATAAGTACAGAACTCATTTTATTCCTTTTGAGGAACTGAAGTGTGCTAGAGGAGCATGTTTGTATACAGACATGTCACATTTATTCATACCTTGCTATGCAAATGATTTTCAGTTTTATTAAAATGACTGAATACATTTCCTTCAGTTGGTCTTCCAGTTAAAATGTCAGAGTATTTCAGTGCTGAAAAACAACAAAACTAAAAGCATATTAACAAATTATAAGTACATTTTGTTATTTGGTTACCATAACTGGATTTTGAGAAGATACATCTCCTTTTCTAATAACATTGGTTGTATTTATGCAGAGCACATGCAATACTTTTTAGACGTTTGAGGTTGTGATGCAGTTGCATGTAATTTTATTTTTTATTATTAACCTGGAAATTGCTAAAGGAAAAATCCTGCAAATACATTTAATGAATGGAAATTGGTTTTACAAGGATCTCTCACCCTGTCAGATCTTGGAACTGGAGTTGTTTAATGTGTTTGGTTTTTTTTTTTTGGTTTAGTGTTTGCTTTCCATGCAGTATTACTATAGACTGTGTCAATATGTGTGTGAGCGTGTGTTTTATGGGTGATTGTGTGAGTGAGTGTCTATGCAATGCCAATGAACTGCAACTCTCCATTTAAGCTTATTTTTGTTGTCAATGTTTTGTTTTGTTTTCAAACCCAAGCAGCTTCCTGCATTGGAAAATATACAGTCCTATTTATAACCATTGTAACATTTTATAATGTATTTTTCTATCATATTTTGTATGTGAGAAATAACATTAAATCACATTTCCAGATATGAACAGTATGCCTTATTACAAAAAATGTATATGAGAGACATATTTTTCTCATGATGAAATAATTGCATAGGTGATGGAAAATGGAAAAAACGTATTTGATTAACAATATCATTTGGTTCAAGACTCAATCTGAGCAAGTTTTAAAGTGGATATTATTTGCTGGGGTGTTTAGTTCATCATTGTTGCTTTGCCTCTATGCCTTCTTATGTAAATTGTAAGCTATTAACCATTTCTAGTTATATAATTGATTAATCGTTTCTTGCCGATTGTACTAACATTTGATGATTTCTATTCATTAACCCCATCAATAATTTCTTTTGTCTGCTTTGAATCTATAGAACAGGATTTGTGTGAAATTAAGCAAAAGAGTGTTTTACTGACTGAAATATGCTGGACTAAACTGTACTGAGAAGCAATAGCAAAATATTAAAATCACAGTTAAAAAAAAAAAAAAAAAACTAACTTGGTCGCTCTTTCTCTTGTGCTTTTTACATGTGCCAGAACACTCTGCCTACTAATCTGATTCAGGTCTGCTGTTGATAATGGAGAAGATCTGGGTCCAAACTTTTCTGTACTGTTTAATTGATCATACTGAACAAAAGCTTCATTTAACACAAAAGTGACAAGATGATTATGGGGTGGAAAAAAGCTGAAGCTGCATATAAATGGTACGGTTGTTTGAGTTGGACGAACACCCACCTCTATTTCACACAGTCTTATTATTCTTTCATTCTCAACATCTCTGTGTGCTTGTTTTTGTATCGTAGCCATCTGTTGAGCTGTTTTGGAAAGTTCTAAGAGTCGACAAGAAAAGTGTAACTGCAGATTACACCGGTAATTGTCTTTCAAAGAAATCCATTGAAACCAATGCAAGTGAAACTTTCCAGATTCTCTGAAATATGTAAGAAAACTAAAGAAGCAAACATTGACTTTTGTAAAAAAAAAAAAAAAAAAAAAATAGTCCAATAATGATAACGAACTGAAATATTTTTCAGCTATGTACATCAGCACTGCAACGAACATCAGGCTTATAAAATGTAAGGTTCAAATCACTTTCTCATTTGAGCATTGAATATCCTCAGAGAAATCACAGAGGGTCAAGATAGCGATTTCTGTTTGTCAGTGGTGCAGCGCTGAGAGAAACTGGAGTCGCGAAGGAAACCGATAACTCTGAATAACCTTCTGAAAACCGTTTTTCAGTTTTCTAAATGTTCACACATCGTTTTAATGAGTTGCTGTTGTGTGTAATGGTCTGTGTTTAGCTGATAAAGCCAATCAGACTCTTTTAGTTCCCATAAGACCTCATCACTGCACCCAAGAGTCCTAGTTACTTTAGTTTCCTTTTCAGTTTATAGCAAAGTCGCCAACCATAGCCTGCATTAAACAAATCTGGTCATATCCAAAAGAACAGCAACAGAACTGAATCTGTGACGGTCACAGTCTGTGACAACAAAGATTGTGTTTTAAGGGAATAGTTCATGCAATATGAATATAATATTATGGATTCACCCCCATTCTATTCTAAACTCATATGCTCTTAATTATTTCCTTGGAAGAATGTTAATGCCGCTATTTTCCACCCAACTACAGTGGGGCCCGGCTGTTGAACTCCAAAAATGAATAAACAGCACTCATAAAAATGGTTCGTACAACTATGGCACTATATTCCATAGTTTTTGTGTGAGGAACAGACCAAAATTCATTTACTTGTCAGTGAACGAATCAGTAAACTAATCGTTCAGTCTGATTAGTGCTTCATACATCGCTAAACTATTGACAAATTAAGACAATGGACCTTTTTTGTACATGAAATTTCACTAATATGACTACACCTTAAGAAACCCACTGGAGAAAAAAATAGCATGTTGGTCTGTTCTTCAAACAAAGTGATTATAGCTTAAGAAGACTTAATATAAAGCATGAGTTTTAAAACCTACTTTTATTGGTGTTTTGTCATTTTTGGAGCTTGAAAATGTGGTCACTCTTGAAATGTGACCAGAAAAAGCAGCATAGGCTTGGGACAACATTAAGGTGAGTAAATAGTCCTAATGACAGGATTTTCATTTTACGGTATACTGTTCTTTTTATAGCACACACACACACAAAATGAAAAAATGGACAGGCACTGAGAGGGAGAAAGTGAAATGGAAAAGGAGAGAGAGTGATTAATTCGCTCCCACAGAAGGCAAACTGTTCATTAAACACCACGCGTTTTGTGTTAAATGGTTCCTGCCTGTCCCAAATTACTAGTTGCTATGTTAGGTAATCATCCCCCCCCCCATCCTTTCTCTATCTCTAACCTGCAATTAAAACCTCAATTTCCTGTTATGTTGATTTTCAGATGCCCCCTCCTACCTCTTTAACTCTACAGTGATGCTTACCTTATCAAAAACACATGCACATACAGGCACTATCCAAAGTAATGGAGTGTAATGCAGCAGCAAGTTTAATGAGTGGAATGGATAACGGTTTTAGCTGAGGGCCAAAGAGGAAAGATGAACTGGGTAAGTCCCTGTAAAGAGAGAGAGAGAGACACAGTATCCTCTTTTGACTCACACTCTTGACTTCCCCCTCAGAGGCTGCAGTGACCTTTACAACCTTTATGCTCACAAACGCAGAACTCTGTCCCAACTTACCAAATGAAAATAGAACCGTTTGCTTCCCTCCTTCCTTCCTTCCTTGTCAATCTACTGATCTTATTGGATGCCAATGGCAAGCTAAACCCAGACAGTTTAAGGAAGAGGTGACAGACTCCTTGTAGAAAACTGAATAGAGAAAAAAATCTCAATGCTACTCAATATGGCGGCTGTAGGAAAAACGGTAAGGATTTCAGTTAAAGGTGGTGTGATATATTAGCCACCATTTTGCTAGCTTCAACCACACACCCTCTCTAAAACACTCCACCCTCCTTCCTAGGAAACTTATACGTAGTATCTGTCAGACACTGTACTACAGTCAAAAGTCAAAGTCTGCTTTATTGTCAATTCTGCCACATGTACAGCACATACAGAGAATTGAAATTGCGTTACTCTCAGACCCTTACAGGTGCATACAGGTAACACTAAACA